CGGGGGCGGCGGCAGTGCCGAGCCGAGCGCGCCCGCTGGTTGGGTGGCGGGGCGGAGGCGGGAGGCGGCGGCGGTGGAGGCGGCGGCAGCGGCACGCGAGGGAACGCCGGGCCGCGCGGAGCAGAGGTCGCCCCCCGAGCAGCCCAAGCCAGCCCTCGGCGAGCCCGAGTGCGCTACATGCTGTCCCGGTAGGCCCGGCGGCCGAGCTTCCGGCTCGATGGCGCGCTCAGGCTGTCTTCAGCAATGGCGCGCGAGGGGACTGGCGTTGGCGCAAGGTTGGCGGCGGCCTTCGACCTCAAGCTCTTCAGCGATGGTGGATGAGAAAGCCGACGTCAGCCGAAAGCCGTGTGCGGCGCGCCGCGGGAGCAGGCTGCGGCCGCGAGCCTCGCCGGCCTGCAAACCCACGCTGAATATTCTAATGCGACGGCACAGGACAGGCACGGCGGACAGACCCTGCGGACCCAGCAACGGACACGCCGCGAGGGCGACCAGCGACCACTGCTGCCGGACTGCGGACTGCGGCCGGACCGGACTGCGCCCGGGCGCACACCTGCTGGACAGAGTATCGATTGTCGCCGCGGGGCGCTCGCGGTTGATGTGCCCACGTGTACCTGAAGTGCGTAAGGCGACCTGGCACCGGAAAGGGCCGCAGGGAGCAGTCAGTGAGCGAAGTGCACGCAAGTGACTGAACGGCGACCTCGGCCGTCGGCCGCATGCCTCTATCTGTGCAACGCGCCGCCCGCGCACTGCTGCGCTGCGGCTGCGCCCGCGGCAGACAGGCCAGGGGACAGCAGCGGGTGATAAGGATAAACGGTATACATACGATGAGATAGGGGGCCCACCGGGGGCCACCCTCCACCACAAGCACGGCACACTCACCTTGTCCTCCTCCTTGATGGCCGCCGCGGCGGACGCGGCCGCGGCCGCCCTGTTCTGCCGCCGCCGGGTCTGGGCGCGGATCTCGTCCGGGTGCGCCACGGGCGGCACGTGGTGGTTCATCTCGTGCACCGTCAGGCTCTGGCGGATGTCGGCGCAGAAGTTGCACGCGCGGCACGTGTAGCGGCCGCTGCCGCCGTGGTTCTTGACGTGGCGCTCCAGGTTCCAGCGGTACGGCGACTGGAAGTCGCAGTCGTCGCACTTGATGAGCGGCATCGTGTGGTACTTGAAGTGCTTGGTGAAGCGCGCCCGGATGTGCGTCACGTACGTGCACTTGCTGCAGCGGTAGAAGCGCTTCTTGAGGTGCACGACGCTCTCGTGGCGCGCGACGAGCGAGGGCGCGCGCGACGTGAAGTCGCAGGACGAGCACTTGTAGGCGTGCGTGACGGGGTCCTTCTCCATGCGGACGCCCCTACGGTTGCCCTGCTGCGGCCAGGTGGCGTACGACTGCGACTCGTCCTCTTCCTCGTCGTGGTGCCGCGACGCCGGAGACATCGCCTCGAGCTCCGGGTTGTCGCTGTTGTCCCGGACGACGCCGACGCTCGTGATGACGCTGCTGTGGCGGGAGGGCGGAGTCGAGCCCCCCTCCTGGCCGTCCTCGTGGTCATCGTCGCCGTCCTCGGGGGCCTCGTCGTCCAGTTGATCGATCACGAGTCTGTCGTCGTCGTCATCGTCAGAGCCGTCCACGAGCGTGCTCCTCGTGACGGTGCACGTCGGCGGCGTCCTTCGAGGTCTGCTGCTGGTGCCCGGGTCGCCGCCGGCGGCCGCCGCTGCTGCCGCCACAGCTCGCGCAGCCATGGCCACGTTGTGCTCCTGCTGCATGAGCTGCTGCTGTCGCTTCTTGACGATCCTGGCGGCCTGCCGCTTGTGCATCTCGGCCACGAAGTCGTCGTAGTAGTCGTCGCGGTCCCGCGGCGGCGGCCCCGGACGGCGGCGCTCTGGCCGGGCGGGGTCGTGCACCATGGACACGTGGCGCTGCATCTTCTGCGAGTGCCGCGAGGCGTACGTGCAGTGCGGGCACTCGTAGATCTGCATGCGCTCGTGGTGCACGCAGCGCAGGTGCGTCAGGTAGGCGCGCGGGCTCTGCGTCACGAAGTCGCACTGGGCGCACATGTAGTTGCGCTCCGCCTTGTCCGCCTGCTTGGCGGCCGCGAGCTGCTCGTCGTCGTCCAGCGGCTCGGGAATCATGATGACGGGAGGGTCGTCGCCCTCCGCCAGGAAGTGCATGGGCACTGCGGGCAGAAAGAAAGGGGAGCGGAGGTTAGTCATCGCCGGCATGGCAGGGGGCGGGGCAGCGGGCACGAGGGGAACACCGGGACCGGGGGCAGCGGGCACGAGGGGAACACCGGGGACAGCGGGGCACTACATCCATACCAGGACAGGAGTGGTGGGCACCGCGGGTGCGGGCACCGGGGCACCAGGGCGCACTGTCAAGAGCATCGGGCACCGCGGGCACCGGGACATCGTGGGCACCGAGACATTGCCACGCTGCCATGGCATTATCGCCGTGCTTGGTGATTGATACAATAATCTCTCCGGCACACACCGCATGCAGCTGGCGCGGGGCGCGGCTCGCAGCTGGCAGCGCGCGCAGCTGGCCGGTGCGGCGCGGCTATCCTTTTCCAGCCGCGCGGTGCCACTCGCCGCGAGGCCAACGCCGCGCCGCAGACTACACGGACTAATTCTGGATGCAGCTGGGGGGCCCGGGGGCCCGGGGGCCGCGCCCGTCCTGCATGCGCTGGCCCGCGATAACCACACCGAGTGCGCCGGGCTGCTGACTGCAGCGGCCGGCTATGGTCCCGGCCAAGCCCCGGCTGCTGCTGCTGGCGCTCCGTATGACGTGACACTACATTGAGGTCACGGCCGGGGCCGGGTCGGGCCGCGGCGGCCGCAGCATGCCCCGGTGCCCAAGCAGCGTGCCCGAGCCTCACGTCTGCACGTCTAGCGTCGGCACAAGCAGAAGACCGCGCTGCTGGCCGTCCCGCTTTGTCGCGGGTCTGATTTATCGCAAAGCGTTTCAACGATGATGCCCCGGTGAGAAGAAGTGAGATGCCCAAACGACCAAACCGACGTCGTAACGATATCGCCGGCATGGGCGTCGTGAGCGTTCGAACGTGACTGCGGATGGCTGGGCGCTTTTGCAACGACGTCATCATGGACGTGTTCCGCGAAGCAGCACCGCGCACCGACCATTTGCTGGACACAAAACTTCAAGTCGGCCAAAGCTCTGGAAGCACCCCTCCCTACTTGTTGAACGCCTAGCGCTCCAGGTGGCGGGCGTGAAGGTGAGACACTCGGCGTCTGCCGAGCGCTGCGGTGATTGGACACAAAGTTCAAAGACCCACCCGGCGCGATCGAAATATTGAGCTGTGCGCCCTCGCCTCGCCCCTGCTGTTTCTGATGATTAATTCTATTATCGGAACTACAGGCCGGCCGGCCCGGTTTGCTGGCATAGGGGTGGCGTGGGAGACAGCATGGGGCAACACTGGGCTCAAGG